GCTGGAGCGTGTCCAGAGAAGGGAACGGAGCTGGGGAAGGGTCTGGAGCACAAGTGTGCTGAGTTCCCTTGTGGCTGAGGGAACTGGGGGTGTTGAGCCTGGAGAAAAGGAGGCTGAGGGGAGACCTTGTGGCTCTGTGCAAGTCCCTTGGAGGAGGGTGGAGAGAGGGGGGGGTGGGTCTGTTCAACCAAGGAACAAGGGACAGGACAAGAGGAAATGGGCTCCAGTTGTGTCCAGGGCAGTTGAGATGGGATGTGAGGAAGAATTTCTTTGCTGAAAGGGTTCTGAGGCATTGGAAGGGGTTGCCCAGGGCAGTGGTGGAGTCCCCATCCCTGGAGGGATTGAAGAGTGGTGTAGACATAGTGCTGAGGGACATGGGTTAGTCATAGGGGACTGGTCAGTGTTGGGTTCATGGTTGGACTTGACGATCTCAAAGGGCTTTTCCAATCCAGGCCATTCTGTGGCTCTTCCCAGCAGTGGCACAGTGTTTAACTCCTCTTAAGCTGCCTCAGAGCTGAGCTTTGCAGCAGGACGGGGCAGGATGACACTTGGCACAGCCACCGCGCCAGCCCAGGATCCACACGGACCGAGGCCGTTCACCTCCCGTACCGGCCAGATGAAAATCTGTTTTCCTCCCCCAGTTCTTGGTTTCATTTTCCTTTGTTTCTTTGTATCTGCACCATATTGTCTTGTCCCTGGAGTCATGTGCCAGTTATTTTTGTTAGAACCCCTGAATTGAAGAACTCTTTACAATGCAGATCACTGGACGTTCACGTCAGTGGTGTTTGTTATAGATGTAGGAACAATCTAGTATTAAAAAAATGCATTTTCAGAGAAATCGAAGCAATTTACCCTATAGCTGGCACGGCTCTCAAAGGAAAACTTGGTTGACTTCTCAGTTTATATCTCAAAGCATTGGCCAGGAGCAGCATGAGGTCCTTAGCACTCCAGAGTGCTGCCCACAAACATCTCCTCTTTAATAGAGATTTGGCTCCCAGAGAAAAGAGATTTTTGAATGCTGTGAATGACCTGAGTTACTGCAGGGTGAAACTTGTCATCTTGGCAGCCAAGAGGCTTTGTTGCCACTGCTGATCAGGAAAAGGGTTGTGGAATTTGTCCTTCTAGTGGAAACTGGTTGAATCATATTAGGGCATTTTATTGATGTTAGTCAGAAATGAGTGAAGAAAAGAGGAAAAAGTTGGATGACTCTTTTTCTTCTTTTATATACTTATATGTTCTTTTATATATGTACTTTTTAACATTAAGCTGCACTCTGTGCCACTATTACTGTCCTCCTCCTGTTAAAAGTGGGGTTTTAATGGTGATTATGGGCTAAGAGGAGTTGTATTTCTAGGAGTGTTGACTGCAACTCTTTCAAGCTTCTTCAATGATGTGAAATTGTATTTTGCAGGTGCCACAGACAAAGCCGGCTCCAGAGACACCCAGGTTGGTTGATCTTCTTTTAAGGGAAAAACCCATTTCTTCTTTTAAGGGAAAAAAAAACATTTTTGGCTGGATTTTTATAAATTACTGGCTGTGTTTGCTAATGTTGTGTTTGATGGTATAGCTCTGAAAAAAACCCCCTCCTTCCTGGGTGTGTTAAATCATAGCTACACAGTGTCTGTCTGAGCTCACCCATTTTATTGCTCAAAAGAAATCTGGTTTGGGCTTTTCACCTCTTCTCCAGCACTTAAACATGTCATGGTCAGCTCCTCTGATCTTCTTTTTTCATTTATGAAAAGCATTAATGATCTCAGGGTCCTGTCACACCTCTGTAGTGGTCACCAGAGCTGTGGCAGTGTGTCAAGGGACTGTAAAATGACATAACATTTCCCATTAATTTTAAATCCCTGTGATCTCGTTTTTGCAGCCAGCTGTGGTCCACCTTCAAGGCCAAGGCTCAGCCATCCAAGTGAAGAATGGTAAGGATCTCATCATATTGGCAGTTACTCAAAAGAGTCCATCCTGCTCCCATAGCCTTGTATCTCGGTCTAAGTCCATCCTATATCATGGGTCCTTGATTACCCCAACTGTTGGCCTCCTCTCATGACAGTTTGGTTCCCATGGCCAGACCCTCTCAGAAGAGTCTTCTCTTGAATTTCCATCCCCATTTCCTCTGCACTCCTATTTATCTCTCAGATTCTCTCTGTCCTGTGCATCCCACTAATTCTGTCCCAGTGAATCTCCCTTCTCCTTGACCTCCAGACACATGATGTGCCTCCTCCAGCCTGCTGTTGTATCATCAGTTTTCCTCAGCCCTTCCATGGCCAGCCTTCTTTCCCACTTTATTTTAAGCCCTCAGTGTATCCTTTTCCTTTCTCAGCCCCATTAGCCCATGTTTTCCTCCAGTTTTCCCAGTAATTTATGGCAGGGGAAGGCACAGCTGGAGTGTGAGGACAGAGGTACATGTCCATCAGCTCCTCCCACGTTACGCTGCACACACAGTCCCTTGGTCACCTCTACCCCCACCAAGAGCCTTTAAGCTCAAGTCCTGCTGAGCCATTTCACATCCACAAGCAGTTCTTTGCTCTCCTCCTTCCTCCCCGGATCCCTATGCAATTTCTGCTCAAGTTCCTGCTCTTCTTGCCAACAGCTGGGTCTCATTCATGAGCTGCTGTCTCCCTGCTCATGATGTCTGGCTGTGCTGGAGAGGAGTTGGCTGGCTTGTCCCCAGCCTGTGTCACTGCGTGCAGCTCCCTGGGGAGCCCTGGGGCACGTACCCTCATCCCAGCCCTTCAGGGCTGCAGCTCCCAAGGGTTGGTGCAGCAGGGATGGGGCTGCAGGACCCCTTGTCCCCCAACTTCCACCACATGCGTGGGATGATGAAGGCTGGCCAAGGCTTCTGTTGAAAGGCAGTTGCTCTCTTTCAGCAGATGTGAGGTGTGGGAGCTGAAATTTGTCATGGTTAGAAGTTGGGGGAGGGAAAAGCTCCCCAAAACAAAAAGGAGACAGACCGTTCCTAGGAACAATACGAGGGAGAAGACGCTGTTTTGCTTACGTTCAGAAATGATCCTTTTATTAACGGGGAGCCTGTATGTTTACAGAGCGTACGCTGCTCTCCGAGAGGGGACTTGCCCTGGCAGCGTAATTCCCTGCTGCTCGGGAACAATCTGCTGCTGGGAGCCCTTAATGCTGTCCAGCTGACAGCACCACAGCTCAGCCTGCCTGCTCTGCAACGGGCTGAGCAGCAGCCGAAGACAGGGAGGCAAAGAGTTGTGTTTGATAAACAAGGTACCTACAGAGCACAGCCCCGTTCTGGGCTCGTAGCAAAATGTGTCCTCTGGACCTGCTCGTTGGCTCATCCAGAGAACAGAGATCTGCTCGTGTTGTCACTTCTCCCACTGGCTCCATTGCCAGAGGACTTGGGTGATGGATCTCTCAATCCCTGAGTGCGTTGAGGACCCCAGTTAGGGGTTAATGTGGTGTGACGTGATGCAGTGTTGTACTTTTGTTGTTATTTTGGCTTTTGAAAACCTAGGAAATGTACTAACAAAGCGTTTGTTAAAAATAATGCTAGTTACAAAGTCAAGAATGTTGAAGTCAAGGAATACCAGAATTAAAATCGATTGTGTAACCCCAAGTTGGCCTCCGTGCAGAGATGGGTCCTGAGAGACGGGCTCATCACACGATTTTTTCCATAATATTGTTGTCTCCTTTGCTGCAAGGACTAGTTTTCTTCTAGGGCTGATCCCAAGGCTTAAAGTGAGGGTGAAAGGCTGCATCTTGGCACTTCTGCTGAGAACATCTTCCAGCCCAGCAGCACTGAGAGGGCCACAGACAGATTGGCCACATGTAGTCCCATTCCCACGAGGACAGGAATGACCCTTGTCATCCTAGCTTTACTGTGGTCCTCAAGGACGTACCTGTTGACGTGGTCTTCAGCACACTGTCTGTTGAAGCTCTGCTTTGTTTAGTGTGGAGGCTGGGTAGAGAGGTGTGGGGAGGGGAATAAATAAGATGGAAAGGAAGGAAGGAGAGGAAGAGGAAGCAGAGGAAGAGATTTAATGGTCTCAAGGCTAGGTGATGTCAGTTGAGGAGGATCTTTCTTGGACAATTGGATCCTGGTCCTACCTCTGCTGCAGAGTTTTTTCCATGATACCAGAGAAGTCACCAGTAACAAAGCTTTTACAAGGACCATGAAGAGATGGACCTCACCTGAAGAAACGCTGTTATAATCACAGCTGCAATAAGTCATTTAGGATTTGTGGCTGAACGTACAAAAATAATGTGAAAAATCAGCCCCTGGCCCCTCAGGTGAATTAAGAAACTTATCAATCAACTTATCAAACTTACCTTACAGTCCTGGGGATGAACATAGTGTCCTACCAAAGGCTGCACACCACTTTTCAAGGATGAGGAGAACTACTCTTGACTAGGACAAGTAGAGATGTAAATCAATTGTGATGTGCCCTGAACAAATCGGGTGTCCAGCAGCAAGGGATGGTATGATTAGAGCTGTAGAGAGGAGTCCAAATTAACACCCCGTAGTCTTTAATTCTGGGATTTTCTGACCGAGTTACTTGACTATTCAGCTTGAGTCTGTGACAGAAGTTGTGTGTGAAACCTTGCAATGTCACTGTATTGCTGTGCTCCTGCGCTTTTCCTTCTGACGGGTACTGAGTGACTGCCGTTTTCTCATACTGAGATCTTTCAGGTGGAGTCCTCAATGACTGGTCTCGCATCACTATGAACCCCAAGGTGTTTAAGCTGCATGCCCGCAGTGGGGAGCTGGAGGTACTGGTGGACGGCACATACTTCATCTATAGTCAGGTAGAAGTGAGTACGGTCCTAGGCCTAACTCCTATTCTTGTGTTCCAATGGAAGCCTTGCATGAACCACGAGAGGGCTCCAGACAACTACCAAATGCCAAGAACTTGTATGTCCTTTTAACCACTTCGTGCTCTAGGAGATGTGTGTCGGAGGAAGACGTTAGAGTTTCGAAGTGCAAGGTCACACCTTTCGCCGTGACACCGGCTGCGAGAGATTAGTTCCCGAAACACAGGCGCAGACGCCCAGCCAGATCCCACATGCCACCAATGCCTTCCTTTTAATCCTCCATATTGGCCTTGTAGTCATTCACCAGCACATCTAAACCTCCCTGCAGAACAAGGGGCCCAGCAGGACACTAAGCTCTGTGCTTTAAAAGAGACATAAGACCAAAACCCTGACAACTTGAGATCCTTGCGAAGCCATGTCACTCTTTGTAAGCGTAGGACTCTTGGTCCTGGGTGGCTTGGCCAAACTCCAGCTCAGGTAACTCCATTTTGCCTCCCCCTTCTTCATGTAGCTTCAGACCAACACGACGCACCAGCAACCACATTGTGTGGTGGGATGGTTCAGCTGCTGCTTTAGTTGGTAGCAGCGATGGATGTACGGACCTGCTTCTGTAAAAAGGGCTAAACAAGGTAATAAATTATTGTGTTGTGATTGAGTAGGCAGATAATTGAGGCATCGTTTCCTCTCCCCATTCAAATAAGATGCAGGAGATGGACTGTCATTTAACACAGTGCTCCCAGTATCTTGCAGATCTCTGAACAGAGTTGCTGGGCTGTGTGTGGAGTACGAGCCGTGAAGCTCTCCCCAGCCCTTCTGGAGCATTCAGGTTGTCCATTCACCTGTGGACTCAAAAACTGTCCAGGTTCTGGGACAGATTTTAGCAAGACAAGAGGGTTTCTATGTAACAACCACAGTTAAGTGACTTCCACCTTGCTCCATTGCTGATATCACCTCCTGCTCATGATTTACCTCCAGTCAGTTGCCAGCCCCCCTGGGACTGTACCAAGTGGGATATAAAGTGGGCTGTGGATGTCGAGTTTAGTCCTCTTCCATGGAACTGGTTACGTGTCTGGTTTGGATGGGGACAGGAAAAATAACTCTACATGAGCCAAAGTATAATTTCCCGAGTGGTTACTGCTAATTGCTGGCCACGGCTTTGTGCCTCTGAAGCCTTTGTCATTTGTAGTCCATCAAGGGGAAAGGGGACTCAGTTTTGTGTAGCTTCTGTGGCTGCAGGGTGTAGACTAAGAAGAGCTAGCAGGTACATCCAAAACAGCTCATTTTCTTCCATCAGGAAGAAGCAGCTCCCTGAGAGTGACTTCTCCTTGGACAGGTCTTTGTCATGCATCTTGTAGTTCTTCAGAATCAGTGTGTGGGAGATGGCTAAGCAATGAGTAATGGAGTCATGGGGGACACCCAGGTGCTAGATGTAGGAGTTCAGTCAGTACAAACACTAGAAGGTCACTTGCTTCCAAGCTGTGGAGGTTGGGAGAGCTTCTTCCCTGTAATAGCTTAAACCTTTGAAAGCACCTCAAGTCCAATTACAAAGGCAGCAACTCCCAGTACATCTTAGGGCATTTTTGATGTCAACACTAAAGGAGGCTCATGGGACCCAGAAAGCAGGACTTGCCAGGTAAGTGAAAGAGGACTTCAGTTCAAATGTTTCTGTTTGTCGGATGAAAAGTTGTTTGTAGCAGATAGGGTTGGCTGCACCTTTCTGTGACCAAACTTGTGCAGGTTTGTAATTTTTTCCTGTAATAAGCAGGGTCTAGGGTGAGGATTCGTAGCTCAGCCTTAGACACATGGATTCACGGACACTTGCATGCTTGTGTCAGGAGGAAGTGGAATACCAAGTTTCCTCATGGTTGGTTGGTTTGAGGTTCTTTCTGCCTTGCACAAGTCAACTTCCCATGAATATAAGATGTCCTGGGGCCAAGGAAGGGATCTTTAGTGGAGGGAACAGATATATACACGTTGAAAAGGAAGGTGGACTTGTTCCTGGTGTGCAAATACACTCCCTAATATCTCTCTTCTTCCTGCTTCACATCAGGTATACTACATAAACTTCACAGATTTTGCCAGCTATGAGGTGGTGGTGGATGAAAAGCCCTTTCTGCAATGCACTCGGAGTATTGAGACCGGCAAGACCAACTTCAATACCTGCTATACAGCTGGGGTCTGCCTCCTCAAAGCCAGGCAGAAGATCGCTGTGAAAATGGTCCATGCTGACATCTCCATCAACATGAGCAAGCACACAACATTCTTTGGGGCCATACGCTTAGGAGATGCCCCAGCATCCTAGATGAACTTGGCACGTCCAAGGATAACTCACAGAACTGCACAGTGCTGCTGTTCATAAGCGTATCAGTATTTCAGGGGGTTCTGTAATCCGGCCATAAAGAAAACTGATCCAGAGCTATTTATTCCTATATGTGAATGCAGGAAGCACAATTGTCTTCTGTGACTTGCATGGAGACTCGGATCGAAAAAGCTAGTTGACAAAGCGTGGTGAGGAAGCAAAGGCTGTTGTGTCTGCCTTGTCTCAGTATTTCAAGTATTACTGCACTGATACTCGGCTCTGTGATGGTCACACGAGGCTTGCTGAGAGCGGGGTGGGTCTCTGCTTTGATGTTGCACTAGCAAGAGCATCCCAGGCAGTAGCGGGAGAAAACAAATGTCCAAATTGTCCTATCCAGGTACTCCTGCTTCTGCACGCTAACGAAAGCAAGAAAAAAGGGGTTTTTCTGGTTTTCTGCCTTCCCAGTTTGAACTGGAAGGGGCACGGGGTGCGAAGGGAGGTGGATAAGACGGGGTGGTCAGTGGTGTTTACATTCATCCTCAGGAGTGCGAGCGAAGAAGGCGAAGGGCCTCTACTAGAGCTTGGAGCAGGCTGCCCGAGCAGTCAGTGCGGGAGGAAGATGAATACTTCACTAGAGCAGGCTTAGCAGATAGGAAACTGCCTCCACATTCCACACATCACCAAGTCCCCAAGAAAACGCCGATTCCCGGTTCCAGCGCCTCTGCTACTTTCAGCTCCTGCCATGACCATGAACCCAGAGGTATACCTTCATGACCATGACCCCAGAGGTACACCTTGCCCTAACGGGGGCTGCCTCAAAGTACTGCTGCTGTTAACAGCAAATTTGTGTTTTGTTGGGGTTTTGGTTTGTTTTGGGTTTTGGTTTTGGTTTGTTTTGGGGGTTTTTTTGGGGTCTTTTTAATTAATATTTTGCAAACCAGAACACATTTCTACAGGCTTGACCGAGCCGCGTAGAGCAGACACAAGTACTTGTGAAAACACTCTGAAGAGGTTTGTCATGTTTAAGAATAAAATATTCAAACAGGATTTTTTTTAATTTTTTTTTTTTCTGTTTTAATAGCAACTGTCCTGCTTTTAGATGCGGTTTTTATCCTTTCCCCCCCCCCCCCCCACCCCTTTCCTTTTTGGCACCCTCCTACCTAAAATGCTCTAATAAGTGGTGATGGAGTCTCTAGCAAAGAAATTTGTATTTAAAAAGTCTGGTCCAGCGTGAAGTCACCACTTTTTCTTTTCTCTGAGCCCTGCTGAGTCTAGTCATAACTCGATTTCTGGTGACTAAGAGAAGAGCTGGGACACTATTGTTTCTTTTGGCTTCTTGAGCAACTCTCTCCCGTTACCTCCCCTCAACTGGGGAGATCTAAAGCTATAAGATGTGCTGGAGCTGAGGAAGAGGCCGAAGCGCTAATTGCTCTTTTGTGTCATGCCTCGCTTTGTTCTTGGTTGTGTTGGTTGGGTTTTGTTGGGTTTTTTGTTTTGTTTGTTGTTTTTTTTTTTTAAATGGGTTTCTTTTCAGAGCATGTTTTGTTTTTTTTTTTTCTTTAAAAACTAAAGAGGGTAGTGAAGTTTCAGCAGATGTAGCAAATGGCACAAGTCCTACACCCATGTCTTGGTGGTGACCTCCACTTCCAAGCTGAGGTGGCTCAGGGTGGTCACTTGCAGGGACCTGGGAGCGGACGTGTCTCAGCACCGCGCCGGAGCGACTGATCTGACCGCAGAAGGGTCCACCCTGGCTGGAGAATTCTTGGCTCCATCGCTTTTCCCCCATCCGTAGCGAGTGATCTCACTTGCCAAGTGTTGCAGTTATTGGGAGATAAATATTTCTCGGGGGCACCCAGCTTTGGCTGCAGCTTGGCTATTCACAGGAGGCGTGCAGTTTGTAAAATAACTACATGAAAAATTGCCTGCTATTGCTTTTTCAATATGTTCTCCTCCTTTCTAGCCTTAACATGTTGGACTAGCAAGAGCCTTAGGGGCACTTAACTAGTCTTTGTGGTTTATTTCCTTTAAAAATGGATTAAGAAGGACATGTTCCTCTGACAAGAATGAATCGGGACAACTGTGTGTAGTGAGAACATTAAGCAAATCATTAACAGAATTGCTTTAGAATACAGCCTGAACTGCAAGACTTGGGGGCAGGCATCAATAACGCACTGGCTTGGGAGAACGTGATGGATGGAGTTTGCATTCCTGGTCCCCCACTGGCAGGATCTGTGATCTGCTCCTGACTGTGGCCGCGGGCAGGAGGAGGCAGAGGGAGAACCCTTCTCTCTACAAGCCCCACGCGTCGCTGTCGGGTTCCCTCTCTGGCATGTGCCTCTGGGATGCGGGAGGAGAACAGAGCAGGAGCAGTTCCTGCCGTGGGAGGTGTTAACGGGCTTTTTCCGATGCTTGAGTTACACCAAAGCGTGGAGGAGTTGGAGTTGGAGAGCAGAGAGTACCTGTCTGCAGGTGGCTGTGTTCATCCCTGGGGTGAGTGGGTGGATCACCACTCCTGTAGCAGCTGTGGGGAGTCTTTGTACATGAAACTCTTTGGCCTCTCTAGCAGCAGGTTCTCCTTGATGAAGTGTTACAGTGCAGGTCACCTAGGCTGTAGCATAGCTGCTTCTGTATGAAGCTTCTTCAGGTGATGTCCTACCATCTTTGGTGCCTCTTCCCTTTAACTGGAGCTGAAAAGGCCTGGAAGCAGCTCAGAGGAGG